AAATCAAAATTAAATCCAACTCGACCATCACCACCTGAATCATCATTTCGAACGAAACAGTCTAAATCTAAGGCTTTGAACAGAATTTTAAATGCTTTGCCCGCAAACAAAGACAAACAGTTTGAATTGATCAAAGAAATTGCTGCAAATTTGAACATTGTTAAATTAGAAAAAAAATTTGAACGTAATCAACAATCATTATCAACAGATGTAAAACAACGAGTATATGATTATTATTTTCGTGATGACATAAGTTATCAAGCACCCGGTAAACGAGATTCAATTACAATTAGAGAAAATGGTGAGAAGAAAAAATTACAAAAACGTTATTTATTATATTCATTAAATGAAGTTTATCAATTGTTTGCTGAAGAAAATCCACAAGCTGTGATTAGTTGCTCAAGTTTTAAAAATTTACGACCATGCAATGTTTTATATAAATCAGCAACACCACACAATCTTTGTTTATGTATTTACCACGAGAATATATCTCTTCTCTTACAAGCAATTGATGAACGTATTCATGGCATTAAATCGATTGATTTGAACTCATTTATTAAATTGCTAGTTTGTGATGATAGTCAAGAATTATGTATGTTTAGCAATTGTAGTCAATGTTCGAATAACTTTAAAATGAAAATTCAAGATCAAATGATTGATCAATTTGTAATTATTAAATGGTCGTTATGGTCAACATCAAAAGAAGGTCGAACAGTTAAAATTGATTATGAAGGAACAGTTCAAAATTGTATTAATATTTTACAAACTAAAATCAATCCTTTTTTATTTCATGTCTTTATTAAAAGACAACAATCGAATTTTTTTGAAATGTTGAAGAAAGATGTTACTGACAAAAAATGTTTACTTCAAGTCGATTATGCTGAAAATTATTCTATTATCGAACAAAACGAAATACAAAGTGCTCACTGGAGCCGAAAGCAATTATCGATTTTCACTGCACACGTTTGGTCTCAATCAAAAACATATCCATTAGCAATAATATCTGATGATTCATCACACGACAAATACACCGTTGCAAAATGTCTTGAACATTTATTCAATCGTTTAAAAGTATTATTACCTTCACTGGAAGAGTTAATAATTTTTAGTGATGGTAGTGCTTGTCAATTCAAGCAACGTTTCTTATTCAAGAATCTGACGTATTTGGCTGATCAATTTTCTCTAAAGTTATCATGGAACTTTTTCGCGAGTCATCACGGTAAAGGTAAGTAAGACTAAAGAAAATGTGTAAACAAATCTTGATGAAACGAACGTATTGCAAGGATATTCGATTTTGACTAGAAATAATATTGATACAACATAGTAGATAAAAAAAAGATTAGTTTTTGATGATTGGTCTTGGGGTAGTGGATGGCATTGGTGGATCAGTGAAAAGAATGGTATATCAAGACGTACTGGTTGGTAAACGATGCAGAAATGCAAATGATTTTTTACATCTAATTGAACAAAAAAATACTTCATTTGTAATCGATGAATTATCACCAGATGAAATTGAACATGGTCGTGATGGTCTTGGATTAATTTTTAATCAAGTGAAGGCAGTACCAAATATCCAAAAAGTACATTCAATGACTGTTATAGATATTCATAAAATTGAATGTAAAATTTATTCTTATAGTGATAAAAAAACAATAGTAAATTTTTAATATATTTTTGTTTTTATTGATATTGTATTTATATGATATATTAGAAACTGTGTTTGTAGGATTTTCTTTATGGTAACAAAAATTAAATTAGTTGAATTAAAAAAACATTGGTTTACTCTCTTTGAACAAAAAATCAATAATTTTGTGTAACAATTAATTTAAACTTCAAGCTATTAAACCTTCTGCATTCAAATCGCAAAAATAGGTGAAATTCCGTAACATTTGAAATTCCGTAACGCTCAGTCTTTTAAGTTGTCTTATTTAAAAGGAATGTCCTACAGAGAAAACGATATGATATTCTAAGAGCTTGTGAAAAACTGAACAACCTTTGTACAGAACGTTCATTTATGAGTTGCTTAGTTTCGAAGAAAAATGCTAAAATCTGAGTCTACCCTCAAAATTTTGTCCATTTTTTGAAATTCCGTAACGAACGATGTTTTTCAAATAACTCCGTTATTGCTTGCTACAAGTCAGTGAAATTTTTAGTGCTAGTAGAGCTAGTTAATCTTCATATATGCCCAAAATTTCAGAAACATCTCTCTTGTTATTGAGGAGATATATGTCTCACAAGTTGAAAAAATGAAATTCCGTAACGCTTGGCCGTGCCGAAAACTACCACGGAACCTTTAGATGCTCTACGAAACTCTCAACGGTTTCGTACGAAACAAACGAAACCTCCGAAAGTTCAGTACATAGTGCACGAAACTCTTGGAGGGTTTCGTCGTGAAACTGCGAAACCTTCTTCGGTTTTCGGAACTTAAAAAGGTTCAGTATGAAGAGTACGAAACCTTTTTCATCCCACGGAACTTAAAATGGTTTCGAAAGCCATTGCGAAACCTTCAAAGTTTGGTAGAACACCTATTTTTTTTACAGTGTACATGTTTATATGCTGAAAGATTCAGTAAAATTTCGATATGTGGAGAACGAAGGTTCGGAATAACAATACTTCGACAGTCAAATTTTCTTATTCTCATCTGATGTCTGTCCTTCGATAGATAGAAAAGTTTCTGATAAGATTTTATTTAAAAATTGATCTCATCATTTCATATCTAAACTAAAAAGTAAGAAAAATTTTGATGATGTCTTGAATAATGTTCGGTGATCCACGTTATTGAAGAATTATATTGAACATCTAATTATACACTGCTTTTGCAGATTGCGACTGTTCAAAATGAGGAAAAAGTTTCACTTTTCTTCGAGAATAGCAAAACATCTAGATTTCTTTCCTCAAAGAATACTAAGATTTTTCTTGAGATAAGTACCGAGTACTTTCTTGCACCAAAACTATTATACTAAATTTGACATACAAATGACATCAAAGAAAAATGAAAGATTCTTACAGGTACTTTATACTAATTTTTCTTATGAAGGTATGAGGTATGTTCAGATTTCCGAAAAAGGAAATTACAGAAATTTCCGAAGCTTCCATCAACTCGATAACTACATAGCAGAGCACATGAAAATCTTTTAGAAATATTAGAAATTTTAGAAGTTTTGGAAATTTCGCTACGTATAGAATTTTGGAAATTTCAGAAATTTCGGAAATTATATAATTTTGGGAAATACAAAACAATTTAAAACATAAGTGCTTGAAATTTCCGAAACTTCGAAAATTTCCTTTTTCGAAAGTCTGAACACTGCTGGAAGGTATTTATTTCAGCATGACTTCTAGTGTAAAGAGTTATAATAAAATATTCCTTCCTGTTTTAGATATTTATTAGGGAAAGCAATAAATTTCGAAAATATTTGTTCATGAGTTATTTCTAATTTAAACATTCCATAATAGAAGTAGATGTTTGAAACAACTTCAAACTGAAATCGATACAAAAATTTTATTCGGCTCATTCTTATCTTTTTCAACTCAAAACCTAACTTTATAGCATGAAGTTAGTTCTACAGAATTTCTTATCTAATTATATATTTACATAGCAGAAAAAAGACTGAAAATCTGTTGCATCATCAATTTAAACAAGTTATGAATGATGAAAATATTGATTTTGTTTAGTGCAAACATCAATTAATGCAAGCTTAACTCACCACTACATAAAGGAATAATTATTGAATTGTTCATCTATTAAATTTTCTTTTGGGCTTCAATAAAGCTAGTTTTGAATTACTTTAAAAGTAATTCAGTAGAAGTCACTTTTATTCTCCTCGTAGCTACGCTCATTGAACCAAACAATGGTTCTTATTTCGTTCGTTTTTCTCATGATTTAATATACTTAGGTCTGACCAAAATTTTTGACATCATTAAATAACACTATAAAGATAAGGAGATATTTTTAATTTTATTTTTTCAAATGTTAGCATAGTTGCCAGTATCATTTATTCCAAGATCAATCTTTTCTAACAGTTAATTAAAAGCTTTTTTTGAACTCTTTTTCTGAAAAACTTTTTAGCTACCTTGAAAACTGTATGAACTAATCATGTTTCATTTGTTTTAAAAATTTAGCGAAACTTTGTTCGATTATGTCAGTTGCGTTGTAACATTACTAGTGATGCGATATGGATTTATTTTAGATAGGTTAGTTATAAGTCATCTAATGCTAGCTGGCATATTGAAGATGAATCGTCAAAGACTATTGCTCATGGAGATAGATTTGAATCAAAACTTTGTGTTTCGTATATTCTTTAAATCAAATAGTCCTGAATGTAGATAAAGGCGAGACTGTAGGTTACAAGTATTATATTGAAAAGTGTCTGAAGCCTTTTGTTAATATAATATGAAAACAAACAAAGACATCAGATTCAAAATGTTCAAAATTACTTGACGATCATCGTTGACTTCATACTCGTCCAATTTTATTAATTATTTGACAGAAGGAGACATCAATATAATGTCACATCTATCATATTTCTCAGACCTGCTAAGTATCACTAAATTCAAAACAACGAAAAAACCAATCAGAATATTCGGTCACCATACTATTTCATAAGCTGAATAAAACAAAAACTCAAAATATTCATTATTCAAAATGTAATCAATATCAACAGGTAGACAACAAGAAAGAATAAATAATATATTTGAAAATTTTGACTTGATCATAAACGTATTCGTCATTGAGTCAATGTTAATCAAGCTGAGCTAAATAATCTTTCTATTGAAGCACTAGTCGCTGGTACGATATCTTCTCTTCTGGCTATTTCTGATACTAATGATATATCACGATGAGTTTCACTAGTAGACCAGAACTTTAGGGAGCACACGCATTTCCGATTCCTTTATCAGTTGTTAGATAAGTCGAAGTTTTCTGAATGTTTTACTTTAATTATGAGAAATTCTCATTTGAAATACTTACTTGTCTTAATGATACACTCATTTATTTACTTGAATCATGGACTGAATGGAATAGCTTGACTTAATCGTTTCTTCGCTTTATGAAGACCACTGAAATTTCAACATTAATTAATTTTAAAAAAAAATGAAAATTTTCAAACCGTTCAAATGCGAAGCCTAATAAATTTAGACAATTAATTGAACGTAAATCTGAACCAATGTCTAAATTCTCAAGTGATGTTTGAATAAGTGAAGACTAAAATAAAAATTGTACATTATGAGAATCGCTTTAGCTAACTGATAAAGTACATAAGTTTTATTACTTCCATGATGATGAGTATTATTCGATAATGTTGAAATCGATAATAGTGAAGACATTGAATCAGTAAAATAAGATTTTGAACTATGACTACTAGTATTTGTATTTTCATTAATAACACGAAATATATGTTGACGTATTTGACCTTCAATCGAACAAAGTATTCCGAATTTTTCAGTTTCTTTAATAAGAAAAATTTTATAAAATAAAAATAGAGATTGTGCCAATACAACTTGTTAAGAACTAAAATATAGAACTTACATATGTTCTTTACTCTCATTACATTCATACAAAATACTTGAAGTGAAAAGTTTTTACTAGACCATAAGAAATGCGTGAGAAATTAGATTTTAC